GCCCCGGCTTCTGCCGGGCTGGGCGCACCCTGCCCCATGCCTCGTCGGGAGCTGCTGGGTACGGTGCACCCGGATGAGGCCAGGAGGGTTAGGAGACACAGGAGTCTCTAAAAATAAGAGAGGGAAAAGGGATTTGTAGTGATTTTTAGGTGTCTAATAGGCACGAATTCCAGCAGGCGCCCGTGCCTCCTGCTTGTGCCACGCAGGATGGATCCCATCTCCTGACAGCTGCGCTCAGTGCTGCGAGATGCAGTCACAACCTCTCCTGCATCAGCCTGTTGCTCCCCGATTTCTCTCCAATTTTCAGTGCTCCTCTTAACCTACCTAAAAAGGGATGCTGTGAGGCTCAATTATGCTTAATGCCTGTGCAGCACTTAAGAAGCGTTGTGCGTGCTAAGTATTGTGATTACGGTTCAGAGGTATGCAGGGCCGCGCATTAATTCTCTTTGCTATGGGGGGTGGAAAAAGAAACAGTCCTGGCTCTTGGTGACCTCTGCGATGCTTGGCTTCCCATATCAGGGCTATAATAGAGATGCACCTTCCATCTAGGTGATTAAAGGGTGAGGTGGGGAGAAGGGGGAAAAGCCGCTTGTAGGTAGAAGTCAGTGCATAATCAAAATGAGCTAAATCCCGGTTGCACAGGATGATGAGATCGGAAATGTTTCTGCTCTCTGCTGCGCGTGGAACAGCTCAAAGCTTCCACTCGGCAGCACCGGTGCTGTGTGGTCCAGCTCTCCTCTGGAGCTGCCCCGCGCTGGGCTCCCATTGCCCGAGCAGGCGTCCTGGGGGTAAAACACTGGCCGACAGCGGGAGAACCATAGAATCATGGAATGCTTTGGGCTGGAAGGGACCTTTGGAGGTCACCCATCCCAACCCCTGCAGTGACAGGGACAGCTTTAACCAGATCAGGGTGCTCACAGCCCCGTCCAGCCTGGCCTGGGATGTTCCAGGGATGGGGCATCTCCCACCTCTCTGGGCAACCTGTGCCAGTGCTTCACCACCCTCAGTGTAAAACATTTCTTCCTTATATCCAGTCTAAACCTATTCTTCTTTAGTTTAAACCCATTATTCCTTGTCCTGTCACAACAGGCCTTGCTACAAAGATTGTCCCCATCCTTCCTACAGGCCCCCTTTCAGCACTGCAAGACCACACTAAGGTCTCCCCGCAGCCCCCTCCTCTCCAGGCTGAGCACCCCCAGCTCCCCCAGCCTGGCCGCGGAGCAGAGGTGCTCCAGCCCTCCGGGCATTTTTGTGGCCTCCTCTAGACCCGCTCCAACGGCTCCATGTCCTCCCTGTGCTGAGGGCCCAGAGCACAGAGCTCGGGGTCTGCCCGGAGAGGGTCGGGTGATGGAGGGTGTGGGCACGGTGTGCCAGGGCATCCTCGCTGCCTCGTCCTCAAGGCCTAGAGAGCTGCTCCTGTGTTCTTCCCTTTCTCCATCATGCCCTGCCTTACGCCTGTGCCAGCGTGGGCTCCTCTGCACCCTGAACAGGGTAATGAGAACCTGCGCTCATCCCTCGGCTTCATTTGTTTTCTTTTGCTCTGTGCCCCGAGGACCCAGATTGATTAAGTGTCAAAGAAAAGTCCCAGAAAGACAGAATATCCGCTTTAATCCCTAAATCCATTTTTGGGAGATTAAGAGAAGTAAGAAAGAAGCAAGGTCTGAACTGCTGCCTGGATGCTGATATGCTAAAAGTGATCGATGACTTCGGCTTCATTCATTTTTACAGGGTAAGAGGCATAATGTGTGCGGAGGGGGAGGAATCGCTGCGGGGAACAGGATAATTGGCACAGGAGGCCGCTCCGCCAGCGTGTGTTCCCGGCGCGGCGCTTGTGTGTATGTGCCTGCAGAAGAGAAAAGGCAGTGTCACAGCAGCAAAGCTGCCAGCTACAGTGACAGCATCCCGGAGACAGCGCTCAACATGTGCGAGCGAGCCGCGGGGGGAAGCAGCCGGTGGATTTACATCCACCTATGGCAGAGGTGTCGGGGAGGCTTGATGCCTTAAAACATGGAGCAGCACAGGGTGCATGGGCCTGGTGCTCCGGGGATGCCAGGTTTGCTGTCCCCATGGCCGGAGCACCTCGCTGGGGAGCAACGAGGTCCCTTGGGTAGATGCACCCTTGGGTTTTTTGGGTGCCTGCAGAAGGCAGAAGTGTGGGGAGGGAGAACTGGGACTTTCCAGCCTCTTGGCAGGAGGTGTTTCCATCAATCCCAGCCCTCCTACACATGCCTGAGAGGGTTGGGCATGTCTTTTTCTTCTTCTTCCCTCTTTCGATTTTAAAAATGAACACTTTGAAAGCCGTGGAGGAGTTGGCATTCATGCACAGTGCTAGGAGAAAGAGAAAAGCTCTGGAGACAGCACAGCTGGGAGCGCACCAAGTGAGCAGAGGGCACAGGCTTCTGCTCTTGCTTTGGGGCACTTCCAAAAAGGGGGGACCAGACTTGTCCCCTTCCTTGTTCAGCCTCTGTGGTACCTACTTGCATCTTCCCCCGCGTCAAATGTAGTGACCCTGTGACTCTACAGGGAGCCAGATCAGTTTGCTGAGCCGAAAAAAAAATTAGTCATTATGTACATACTTATATATTTAGATGCATGTGTGTATATATATATATTTTAAGGGCTTTTGCATGCTTGGCAACAGCCACAGTTCAGTTAGGTTAGGCATATTGCAAAGTGTAAAAAGGGGTTGGGGAAAAAAAAAAAAATGTAAGCGATACTGAGAGTGCAGGGTCTGAAAATGCGCCGGCAACGGTGGGTGCCCTGGTCCGTGCAGCCGTGGGAGGGGTTGGCAGGGGTGCATGGCACCACGGCTGTCGGCACAAGCAGGGAGCTCGCCCTGCAGCGAGCGGTGCAGGCAGCCTGGATAAACGTGTAGGTGCAGCAGGGCTGGATGTTCGTGGGGTGCCCGCTGCGGGTCTGTGTGCCTGCCGGTGTGCGATGGCAACGCCAGCGTACCCAGCCCGTCTCTGCCCCTGAAGCCAACTGCTGCAGCCCCCCACCCGCTCAGCTCGCGGCCTCGCCTGGCTCTTGGTGCTAAATGCGATTGCTTTGAAACGTGGTTTGCCCTGTCACTCACCAATTAACGAGGACAGAAAGCCAGAAAAGACACAAGCCTTTCCCTCTCGCTCTGCTGCCTCCAGCAAATG